TAGAAACTACACCTGGACCCGTCCTCCTATAGAAACTACACCTGGACGTGTCATTCTGTGTCTGTTTCTACTTCCAACCTACAGACTGTAGTGATCGCAAAAGTTCATCTGATTATTTTTATCATTTTATACTTAAATACGTAAATATAAAATTTATATAAAACTGCCCTATACTCATCTTTAAAAGCACATTTTATTGTTTTTTTTCTAATAATTGTACACATTTTAAACACTCATATTTTAGGTGATTTTAAAACATTTGAGTGGACTTCCAGTTAAAGTGAGCCGTTTTAAAAAACGAACCTTTTGTGAACAGGAAGTTGGTGTTTTTTTATTTAAATTAAACCCAGTCGGACTTCTCGTCTCACCATCACACCACAAACTTCTTGTATTTTTCGAGGTTTCAACTTCCCTGTAGAACTCCCACAACCTTCTGGTACAGAACCAACTTCTCTTTCTTTTTAAACAGAACCTCAAAAGGAGCGGCTGATACCGGTTCTGTTCACAGCTTCAGAACCAGGCTCATTAAAACCAGTTTCTTTGTTTATGTTCAACTCAAGCTGCTGAACAGAATCTGAGATCAGCTCCTGGAAAGTTATTTCCGAGAACTTTAATCCCAACGAGGGAAAAGAAGAACCAGAGACACATCACGTTCAGATCATTAACTTCCTGAGGCTGAAAAAAACATTTGGATTTGCTCTGATGGAGTTTAGAAAACAGACTGGAAACAACCGATAATTAAACAAATGGGCTAAGAATTCACTTTTTGAATGGAATTACTGAAATAAATAAACTTTTTCATGATGTTCTAATTTTATGACCAGCACCTGTGTCTCTTTATGTCTGTATGTTGCTTTTTTGTTTGTTTGTTTGTTTGTTTGCAGCGTCACACTGTGTCCTGTTAGGGATAAAGTGTGACATTATTTTTTAATCTCCTCTTCTCTCGCGTTCCTTTTTTGAATCTAATGAAAAAAGAAGCGCCTCTCAGTGAGGCTGCAGCCTCAGACGCCCCGTCTACCCTGTCTGTGTTTCTTCAGATGGGCTGTCCTCAAATGTAATTCTGATGTGCTTCTGTGCAATAACAATAAAGCTGATTATTTTCTGACTGGGTGGTTTGCTCCGGTGTTTACATTTGATCCTGGAACTCTTTGGTTCGTCTGGTGCAGAATTTTATTTTTGTAATGGGAGCGATGTCTTGAAGGTAGAAACAAACTCGAGTATGGATTCCATCACGTTCGTATCGATAAGGTCCAACACCAGCGTTGGTACCAAACGTTGGGACACTGGACTTCTGTTCAGCAGCTGAAGACGTGTGGAGCTTAAACTGAACGATGTTGGTATCAATCCTTGGATCAATCCACACACCCAGTCATCGGTAATGCAACAGGACCATCCACGTTGAGGTCACTTTGAGAAACATCCCAGATGGATCTGATTTAGTACCACATGTGACAAAAACCCAGGTTGGAAATTTAATAATCTGATTAGTCACATTCAGATCGTCATAAAACATTCAGATTTGGGCCACTTGTGGCTGCAGTGTGACCGTAACCTTTGGGATCAAATATCTTGGTCGTTTGGGTTCAGTAAAGTGGCGCTCAGGTGACACCTGGACCGACCTGCAGCGGCGAACGCAGCCGAGCATCAAGTTTCAAGACAAGAACGACATCAGAGCTGAAATAAGTGGCAGTTATACGAAAACAACGAGCGTCAACGTGCTGTGAACAGGTGAGAGGAGGAGAGTACCTGGGCTCTGCTCCGTGCTGTTCTGTTGCGTTTGGATCAGGGTCGCGTCGGTGGTGACCAAACAAACGGCGGTCTGAGAGCCACACCACAGCCTCAGCACCGAGCCTGCAGAGACAGGAAGTCTTCAAAACAACATCGGAGTCGGTGCAAACATGAAGAAACAAACGTGAAACGTCTCAATGAGCAGAAAGAAAGACCTCATTTACAAAACCTGCTTCACCTGTTTACACATTTATCAAGAGCAAAAATACAGATTTATTATCCAAGACACACAGAGGAAGGAGGTGGAGAAGAGTCCAGGCAGGATGGAGTGATGGAGAGAAGTTTCAGGAGTGATTTGAGACAACAACAAAAAAAGTGTCAGCAAAGGTCAAAGGAAAAGTTTACAAGACAGTGGCGAGACCAGCTATGTTGTATGGTCTGGAGACAGAGACATGGACAAAAAGACAGGAGACAGAACTGGGCGTGGCAGAAATGAAGATGTTGAGGTTCTCCTTAGGAGAGACAAGGATGGAGAAGATCAGGAATGAGATCATCAGAGGTACAGCACAGGTTGAACAACTGGGAGATAAAGTTAGAGAGGACACACTGAGATGGTTCGGACAGGTCCAGAGGAGGGACGGTGGTTCGGACAGGTCCAGAGGAGGGACGGTGGTTCGGACAGGTCCAGAGGAGGGACGGTGGTTCGGACAGGTCCAGAGGAGGGACGGTGGTTCGGACACGTCCAGAGGAGGGAC